TGTGGGCAGCAGAAGCTGCCAGGGTCACAAACTCTGTGGACAAAGAAGAGTCGTGTGGCAGTTTCAGCTCTTGTTCACTGGGCAGCTCACCCAGGCCTAGCTTCTGAGCTGAAAGGGGATAGGATTCTTTGTTCCATAGATTTTCTATGCCACAGACAGTGTCATTGTTCTTGGAGAGCACATTATTTTTTTAATGAGAAAGGGACTTTTTGAAGGATTCTGTCATATCTTTGAGGAAGAAAACCAGTAATACATATATTTTTTATATATGTTCACTGGCACTAAAAAAGGAAAAAAAAAAGTTTCACTCTGTCCCTCTGTCCTTTGGATAGTTGCCGGGGGTTGAGAAATAATGTTCTGATGCTCAAGTCTCTCTCTGTCCATACTTTATTTCTAAATGCACATATGCATATATAGCAAGAATAATTCTATTTGTACTTTAAGAAAAAGTAGTTCTACCATCCACATGATACTACCATTACACAAATGACCTAACTTTGAGCTTCAAGTAGCTTCTGTTTGTTTCATTAGTTACAGCACAGACATGGCCTTGACCTCTTTTCTCCCTTGATATTTGGCAAGGCACAAAAGCCCAAGCCACTCCCTTTACCTCTTCCCAACCTTGTGCAAGGGTTGAACTTTATAAGATTCTCTCCAGACAACTCAGTAACTATTCCTGCATGTTCCCTGCATGGCCCTGAAAAAACAAGAAGCTGACTACTAATTATCCTCTGCCAGTTGCCCAAATGAAAGGTCACTGAGCCAAGGAAGTGACCTTCATGCTCGACCCCCTGTAGGAAGTCATGGGAATCAGGAATGCTAAAGCACAGGATCAAGTCCCAAAGTTAGAGTCAAAATAAGCCATTTTGCATGTGCAATTTCTTGTAAAAGGAAGTTTCTACCCCTTTTATAGGCAGTTCTGTTCTCATCACTAATCTCTTTGAAAATCTTTGAAAGATGTTTTAAAAAAGACAAAGAGATGAGAGCATCATGTTATGTAACCAAAGATTACACAGTATCTGCTAAGATACCAAATTTTTTAAGGGCAGGGAGGGAGTAAACATTAGTGCCTCTTAGGTAAGCTATCCAAAGACAGACTAAAGGACTTTGCTGGTGACTGACTTATAAGAGTTCGGTGGGTTGCCCCCCATACAATATACATGTTTAAAAGAGATGAAGATAATTTCAAAAAACTGGGATTATGGGTCCTTCACTAAGAGATTTTATAAGCAGAACTAGCTTTCCTTTTCTCCAGTAGTTGTTCAGCAACTTTTTAAAGCTCCATAATTGCATGGTTGGAAATGGAGCTGTCTTGGCCACTGTGTTTGCTAGTGCCCATGTTAGTTTATCTGAAGATGTGAATCCCTTGCTGAAAAAGGGAGCATTTAAAGGACTAGATTTTGCACTAGAGGGACAGCAGGCAGAAATCCTCATTTTTGCCCACTTTGAAAGACACAAAATGTTTTCTGCGGTTTAAGGCAGAAGGTTGAAATATATTGTAAATGAGTATTTGTATCCATGTTTCAAAATTGAAATATATATATATATATATATATATATATATATATATATATATATATATAATGTGTTCTGATAGCTTTACCTTTCTCTGCACCTTTATATTTGGTTCCAGGTCACAATTGATACCATGTACTTGTGAGAGAGACTGCAGTTCCATTTTGGAAGCTCTCTCAGAACATAAAAGACACCTGGGTTGATCAGATAGCTAAGAGATCTCTGCCCCTATTGGGGCCTGAGCCACAGGCCTTACAAAGGAGCAGAGGTGGGGAAATGGTAGGGTACATGATGTATTGCACTTTACTAGCCCAAGACTGATGAATGTTTAAAGGTGGTGAAAACTCATTGGAACTGACTGAGATTTACTGTAGGGAAGGCCCAGACTTGGGGCCAAAGGCCCACCAAAATGATTCGCCAATGACCCCTAATGGGAGCCAAACAGTTGGAAGAAGGAAGGACATCCTTTGTTCTGCACCATCCTTTGAGAAAAGGGCAGTTACTGCACCTGGGAACCTGGAGCGAGTGCTCTGTCTTTCACGTCATTCACTCATCTGCGATTGAGGTGCTCTTGCTACTGGGTGTCTGTGTGCTTTAATTATGGTTTTGGATATGTTCTGTAAAGATTTTGACAATGAAAATGTGTTTTTCTCTGTTAAAAAATTTGTCAATGTACTAGAAGTAATATCTCTGTAGGTACAGGTCTGTCTCTGCCCACAGGTAGGGATGTTTTTCTTCAATTAAAAGATTGACACTGGGGTCTGTTGCTCAGAGCCTCCCAACTGTTAACCATTCTAGGTGAAGGCAGAAAAATTCATATTAGTCACCCTTCTTCAGACCCTTCAGCTGAGGTAATAAAACATCTGCAATGTTCCCACTCACCAAAGTAAATGGTAAGTGTGAATTTAGGAGGTAGAGTCTTAAAGGGAAAACCCCCTTTGACTCAGGTTCAATTTATCCCCATTTGGTTTGACCAGAAAGTAGGTAATATGTATTGATTGGTTTCCAACCCCAATTCAGTATAGCAGGGGTGCTGATTCCATTTCTTAGCCCCCTTGTCTCCTTAGCCTCATATGGAATTAAATGAGAAGCTATGGACTAAGTGACCCTTGTGGCTTAAAATAGTTCCCACATGCACTAATTAATGAGGCTGTCCTATAGCTACATATTCCATTGGCCACCAAAGACTGGATCACACACACACACCCCAAAGAAATGAAAATTCTGGAATGTTGCTGCTTCTCCAGTGGTGCCCTTTCTGGCTGATGCTTCATATTTTGGGACTGTGTTTCCTGCACAGCAGAAAGGGCAAGCCTGCAGTCTCTCCCAACCTTTGCCCTTGGTGCTAACTATCCAGCAATGAAGTGCCTGTGGGGTTAGCCTATCCCATAAGCCATTCAGGTGCTGAGAATAGTCACCATTGGGATGGTTCAAGCTAAAACCGAGTCCCTTCAGAACTCAGTGACACCCTTCTGCTTTCTCCTAGACTGGAACATTGATTAGGGAGTGCCTCGAACATGACATTCTTGTGCTGTCCTTCAGATTAATTTGGCAGCAGGAGGGAGCAGACTATGTAACCAGATGTAAGAATTAATTTTGATATTGAGGGAAAAATAAAAAGAGAAAAAGCATCATATAAAGATTTTTCAAAAGAAACATTAATTTTGCTTGAAACTTATTTCAATGGGGCTTCAGTTCTCACAGCAGCACTTGGCCTCCACTGGGCAGCAGGACCAGCCCCAAGCGTTAGTGTTCTGTTCTTTTTTTGTAATCGTGGAATCTTTTGTTGCTCTAAATATAATTAAAAATGGCAGAAACTTGTTTGTTGGAATACATGTGTGACTCTGAGTTTGTCTCTTTTTCTCTGCTTTCAGAAATGTCATCCATTGTGTAAAATATTGGCTTGCTGGTCTGCCAGCTAAAACTTGGCCACAGCCCCTGTTGTGGCTGCAGGCTCAAGTTATTGTTAACAAAGAGACTCTAGAAAAGCTGCTAATGTCCTCTTATCACCATCGTTAATTTGTTAAAACATAAAACAATCTAAAATTTCAGATGAATGTCATCATAGTTCTTTTAATTAGCTGTTTATATTGGCTATCTTTATTGAAGTCAAGAGTTGGTATCATGCCCAGTGATCTCTTATGCTACTTTGGTTTTCATATACATATTTTTTTTCATCTTTGTACAGGGGTTATAAAATTAACCTGTGCTGGCCTTAGCATAGGTTGACCTGAGACAACTAAAATATCAATGGGTCTAGGCTAGAAAGCACAGATGGACACTGGTGGCCCATTACAACCTCTCATTGAAAACTCTGCACCTGTCAACCAGGAAAAACAGAAAATCCAGCTGTTCACCCTCATCCTCATCTTTGTGGAAGCAGAAAATGGGTATGGGCTTCACTACCCAGTTCTTGTCAAACTTCAGATAAGGAATGGACGTCTTAGCATCCTCACTGTTTTTCAGGGGCCATATCATCCTTAACCACCCAGGTAAAATTTGAGCCAGCATTCTTTTGGGTTTTCAAAAGTTCAAGCAAGGTCCCCCTGTCTCATCTCAGTATGAATACTTATGAGATCACAAAATAAATTTCTGGGCTTGAGATATAGGCCATCAAGTTGATGTGACAGATATGTTAAGGAATAATATGAAAGCTCTGTGTGCTTTAGTGTCCTCAGCTATAATAGGGGTTGTCACAGTGTCTCTCTACTGGACTGGGTTGAGGAATAAGTAAGAATATATGTGACCCAGGAGGTGGGCTTATTTCTCTGGCTTTGCTTCCTGTTTAAATGTCAGAACCCCTAAGAGTGACCCCTTATTGATACATGTTTTTCATTGACCCTCTCAGACTGGATTAATTTCTCAAAAAATTTCCTAAGAATAGTGCCTGAAGGACAGAAGAAAACAAGAGATTCTTGGCATATGTGTTTGCGTGTGTTTACGTAAGAGAAAGAGAACATGTATGTTTGTGGGTTGTCTGTGTAAGTAGAACCAGTCTCCTGAGGAACCTCTCTGGCCACCATTGCTTAGGTTCTTTTCTCTTGGACCTACAGATAGTGACCTAATAGCCACGCTACTTGGTTTCATTTACTCAGCCCCTGCATAAATTAAAAAGGTAATTAGCATCCACCGTAGATTTTTCTAAGAAGTATCAAAGCACACAGGTCAGGGAGACAAGGACACCTAGTGGATTGAAAATAGCCTGGAGGCAAATGTCTTATATGTGATCTAGTGTATAATTACAATTCTGACCTGCTGATATGATACTGGAAAACCAGCTTTTTGCTTTTTTTTTTTTTTCTGGACCTTAATATTCTCATCTATGAAATGAGTGTGTCTGAAGGTATGGAATAGGGAAGCCCTTTCCAATATGAACACTATGATTATTGCAAATAGCAACAGCTTTCTTAATCATGACATAAAGGGAAGAAGAAAGGGATGTCTGTTGTCCCAAGAACATGAAGGTATTTTTCTTTATTTTTTCACACTGTACAACCCCCTTCAGTGCTCAAAACCCACAGGTAAGGAGGCTGGGCAATGGTTCAAGCCTGCAATTTACTCCTGCATGAGTACACTACGAGAGGCCCACAGAGAAGGGCCCATCATTAGAACATATAAATTTGAAACTGGAATCTACATGTTTGTACTCAACAAAAATTTACTGAACACCTAGGGAGTCAAAACAACAATTGAATTCTGTGTAACAGATGCTGTCAACCCCTTGATGGATAGGGAAAAGACTCAAAAATGAAATAATCTATTTATCATTTACATGATCTCATAAATAGCAAAGATAAATAAGAGTTAATAAGTCACAGTCCATGCTTTCAGTGAGTTTACAGCCTATTAAATGCCTTAGGCCAGGCCCGTCTGGGACTTCAGCCTGTCACATCTATCCCTCAGGCAATATTGGGCTAACCTTTGATTTATTTTTGTTGCCTTTTAGAACTAAAAGGGATCTTAGCATCTAGCTCAAAGTTTTTGTTCTTCACACGAGGAAGCAAGGCCAAAAATCTTGTTAAATATTATTGTGAATTAGGATCTATGGCAAGAGACTAACCCTAGAACATTCAGCTCATGGTCTCTTTATGTGCCTACAGGTGGCATGGTACATTGTCAAAACACATGAGAACCTCTACTATCCACTTGCACACTGGCTCAGAACCCTGATAAGAGAGCCTCCATTTTTCATCTGTGGTTTCCAGGTATACAGCCCAAGGATCTCTACTCCAAATATAGCACCTACTTCACCTACCACCCACTCCCAGAGGTTTTTTGCATGCAACTGCAAGACAGGTTGAGAGAAGGACAGAATTATTTAGGGAGACGGAGTAGGGATTACAGTACCAACAAGAAACATTTAAAAACAGTGAAGCATGAAAGTCTAATTTTTTTTTTGAGACAATAGGCATATGCAGATGATTCAACTCCTCAGATTCTCCTGCTACCATTTCTTTTTTTATTTTTTTCAGGTCACAACTTCCCCTCTTCTCTCAACTTCTTTCCCAGGGTGCTTCAAGTAAGGAGAAGGCTATTTGGGGAATTTGGTCTGACCGCCAACCAGTAAAACTATACCAAATAAGCTGACTTATGCCAGAGTCTAGGCAAACACCCTCCCCCCCCAGTCCCCACTGGGTCACTTCTAATCTCATACCAGAAAACAGTCCAGCAGAGCTGACAGATGCTCTGAGAGGCACATTGCCTGCTACCTGGACAGTGAGACTTGTCCTGAAAGGAAGCAAGCCCCTTCTATGCTTATACTCAGTGCCAAGAGGGGATAATGTCAAGATTGAATTAATCTTTTTGGAGAATCCCATCACTTCAAAAGACTGCAGGGACTCTTCACATGGGCACAAAATCCAATCATCCCCTCATTCATTTGTTCTTTCTTTTATTCAGTAACTATTTATTTCTGCAACCACTATGCACCCCACACATGAACAAGACAGACATGGTCTCTGTCCTGATAGAGCTTCCAGACTAGTGGAAGAAACAAAGAAATAGACAATTGTAATATAATGTAATGGGTGCAGTGGTAAAGTACGTTCAAATTTTTGTTTGAGTGCAGAAGGAGGATGCCTAGCATAGTCTAGTGGGAATTTCAAGTAAGGCCTCTTAGAGAAGTCTAAACTGTAACCCAGGTTGGGTGAAGATGGAGCTGAGGTGGGGAAAAGGATAATTCATTTTTAGGCAAAAGACAGCAACCTTGTAAGAAAAACTACAAATAGTTTAGCCCGAAGCAAATGTTTAAATACAGGAGTGACTGTGAGAGCAGAAGGCAGAAAAAGAGATACAAGTTAAGTCAGTAAGGGCCTATGTGTCAAGCTACAGAGCTTGTCCTTTATCCCAAGGTAAATGTGGAGGCATAGAAATTCTTGGCAGCATTTCAATTCTCACAACACGTGAATTTCATAACATCCTGAAGAGGCAGACAGGTCAGGGATCAAGCACATTTTGCAGATAAGACAACTGAGGCTCAGCATAGTAAAGTGATTGACCTAAAAGCTGCTACTGAATAGTTAGTGGACCTAAGTCTAAATGGGAAGCCTGTACTCCTAATTTTTAGTCTTAAGCTTCTCACATTAGAGCAATCCATCAGAGATGTCAGGATCTGGTGCAGTTCTTGGAATGTGTTCAAGAGTATTTGTGGTGACAGCATACTCCCCCATCTGTACCTGCCATGGCCTTCTTGAGCTGAAACTAGGATGAGGTTCCTGGATGGCAAACAGGGCATTTCAAAAAGGAGCAGTAGCATCATCTTAAGAGGTAGTGCAGGCTGTGTGAAGCCTGCCAAATTGGTGCTCTGTGGTTGTAGGGCCTCACTCATTCATCCAAACAAGAAGTCAAAAAATTCTGGAGAAGAAAAGACAACTTTACACCTTCCTGGAGGAGAAGACATCAGACTTTGGCCTTGTACAATGAGATGAAATTACACAGGAGGGAAAGGTAGCTGAGCAGCAACCAAAGCAGATGGAAGAGCATGAATAAATGCCCAAGCGGCAGGAAAGAGTATGGCTTCTACTTTGGTACAAAGAGTTGAAGATGGGTCTGGATTAGGGCCCCCTGTGAAAAGCCTGTGTGTCCTGCTAAGAAGTGAAATTTTTTTCTGTAGGCCAGTCATTCTCAGCTGCCACATGTGAACAATAATGGTGACATGTGTGACATACTTTCAAGGGAGGCTCCATGGTTATATGCAGTTCCTGACACACAGCTCTCACTTTGCCCCACTTTCTCCCACTTAAGTAAGCACATACAAATACAAGTGAGACTGACAGTATTGAAAGGAAAAATTTGCACCTCCTATAGTATAATTTTAAGAAAAGTGTCCACCAACTTCAATGTTTAGAATATTATCAACAAATTATTTTCTGTACTTCATAACTAATTACAGTTGAGATCAGTATGGATTTTTGAACAAAGCTGTAACGCAATTAGTTTCGGAAGATGGAAGCTATGCTAAAACATAGTGTATAAGAAAGAATCTAATAGCCTAGCCGGTGTGGCTTAGTGGTTGAGTGTCGTCCCATGAACTGAGAGGTCACAGTTCGATTCCTGGTCAGGGCACATGCCCAGGTTGTGGGCTAGAACCCTAGTGGTGGTGGGGGGGGGAAGGGGGACATGCAGGAAGCAGCTGATCAATGTTTCTATTTCTCTCTCCCTTCCTCTCTCTAAAGAAATCAATAAAAACATATTTTTAAAAAAAGAATATAATAGAGTGTAATGCAGAAGATGAGTCAAGGGAATAATAAAAATGTAATGATAATAAATGTATTAATCAATTACTATATGCCAGGAAATGCTAAAGATAAGCTCTTTATATGGTATCTTACATAATCCTCACATCAACCCTATTATTTGAGCAAAATTACTCCCATTATATAGATAAGGAAACTAAGGCTCTGACTCAATCTTCTTTTTGGCTCAGAGCCAAGGTTACGTCTAAGTAATAAAGCCTGAACTCAGCTAAATTAGGTTTGTTGCCAAAGCTTACGATATTGATCACTGCACTATATTTTCTTTATTTAAATGCTGATTGAATTTCTCAGTCTTTGCAGAGAGGCCCAAGGGACTCAAAAACAGGTAGCATTATAAATAAAAATAAAGAAAGAACTATCTCACAAGGGAATTGTCTTCACAACCACCCACTTCAGGTGTGACAGTAATGTCTAGTTTACATGAGCCCATGTTTTCCACAGAGTAGCCATCTCCTCCCCAGATTTCATAGAAGTCATATTGGGAGGAAAAATGTGGTCTTCTCCAGCCCTGCAAGCTCCCAAGAGTCTTGCCAAGTCTTGCTCTTTTTTCCTATCTCTGGTTAGAGATACCCAGAGTACAGCAGTTCACCGGTGTTCAGAGAACCCATAAGTGGATTTGTCTATAAAGGCAGGCAGGGGGAAAGAGAATTGGATCAGGAATCAGGACACTAGCTTCTGCCACTAACTAGCAGGTAAACGTTACTAGGCCCCTTCTCCCTTCTGGGCCTCAGTCTCCCTATCTATAGAGCAAGGGAGATAAGGTCAAGAAAAGTTTCTTTCAACTCTAATATGTCTTCTTGGATTCTGTGAAGCTTTTTTCTAAAGCCAGAATGTTGTTAATCTAAAAATTACCAGCTTTATCTTACTCCAACCTATAATCTTATTTCAGAATCTGTGTCATAAAAATACTAATGATATAGTTTGTTCTACTTGTGAATGTTGCATCACCAGCCTCCTTGACAACACACCCAATAGTTCCTTGCTTGTTGTTTCACAACAGCCTCTAGCCCAAAGCATGCCATCTTACCTACCACTCATACATACCTGTCAGTATTGATGGGAGTATATTTCTAATAATGCTTCTTGGGCCATTCTGTGCCTGGACCATTTTGATATGAGTCAAAGACCCTACTAGATATATTTACTATCCAGAATACATGTGGGCAACTGTGGCTACTTGGGGAATCTCTGAGATAGGTGTGGTATAGATTTTTTTAATTGTCTAGGTCAGGAACCAGCAAATAGGCAATGCTACTGAATAAACACTAATGGACAAGAGACCACATTAAACGTTTCCCTTTCAAAGTAAGGCAATGCATTCTATTAGCCTTTGTTTATGTGATGACCTTCATAAGACATATCTTCCATTTCTGCCTAGGCAAAACCTTCTAATCCTTTAAGGCTCAATTCAAACGCAAACTCCAGGATGTTTTCCCTGATTGCCTCAACTGGAAATGAGCTTCCTCTCCTTTAAATTTTGAATCTCTTTCCCCTAAGCCCAAACCACTACTTTGGCTTACAGTTAGTTACAATAGCAACTCACTGCCGTTTACATAGTGCTTTATATCTTATAGCATTTTGATATACACTGTCTCACTGGAGACACACAGGAACACTATAAGAAAAGCAGGGCAAAAATTATTGACATCCTAGTTAAATATGTAACAAGAAAGAAGCATTGTTATTTTAGAAGTTGGCTGGAGACTTCCATTTCTAGCACTATGTCTTGCTAGATAACTTAAATGACCCTCCCCCCAAAAAACAATGAAAATGTAAGGCAAAATATAAAAATAATATTTTAAAGTTTATTGCTGAACTAGTATGATAGTAAAGAATCTATAGCCAAAAAAGAAGTAAAAGCAAGAAT